ACTGAGCTACTGCCGCCCCTCAACCAGTGCAGTAATGGTGCTATGGGGACATTGGGACATTTGTGATTCCCAGCATGTTCATCTGCCTTTCACTGAGCAACATGTGGATGCTACCGTGGTCTTTAATGTTTAATCTTTTTTACAGACTAGAACCTTTCTCACAGCGTGCGTCATGTCACTGCTTGCCGAAGAAGGTTACATAATTGTTCATCACCCTTTACAACAGAGGTTTTTCCCTCCATCTAAGATTAACACGCTTGACAGCTTGTTCATGAATGTACTATTGCATACGCTGTTGTAGTATAAAAGCTTAAGACAAGCATCGCATGTATGTGAGGAATGTGTGTGGTGTGACTCCAAAACATCTGACTCTCACCGTGCCGGGCCAAACGCAGGGCAACTGGCTGTAAGCGTATAGCATGGGATTATAGTGTGACTATAGTGCTTCAAACACGCTGTTAACTGAATTGTGCAGAGTACTTTTTGACTATTTAATCTCCATTGTGCGGCGAGTTTTCAGAAAACATACGGAAGAGGCACGGAAAATATTTGGACTCCATAGTGTCAACACATATTGTAGCATCAATAGTTGGATTAGAGATTGAAGTGCGCTGTGGAGTGGTGTTTTGAATGTGATTATGGAAATGCACTGAAATGGATGACATTTTGACTAGAAGCAACTTATTACCATTGTTAGCATTCTGATACCACTTGTCATTTACGTTGCTGCTTTTAAATGACAGACAGCTACAGCACAACCTTTTCTCGTTATTTACTTTATTTGTACATTTCTGTATAAACAGTTTTTAAGACAACTGAGTATGTAAGTCTAGGGCTGCAACTTATTGATTATATTCATTATATGATGATTGTTTGCTGGATTAATCAATGAATCATTTTGCCTATAAAATGTCTCAAAAATATATGTAAATTATAATTTCCCAGAGCCCTCAGATTCCTTGTCGTATCAGGCCAAAACATGTTAAAGAAAAACATCAATTCACCCAAAAAGTACTGAAAGTTGTTTGTTTGTTTATTCCATTATGTACACATCCAGCTATGATGACAGATGACTCAAAATTGCCAATTGATGGCGCACATGGATGTGCATGTGTACTGTATATAAGTATGCCCTCACATGTGTGTGCATGTGTATGTCAGTGTCTGCACTTTGAGCAATCTAAGAGGCAATGAATCATGCTTGTGTTTTTTTTTCATATGAATATTCTCTGGCTGGCATTCAGGAAACAGAAAATGACCTTCTCCTTCTGCTCCCTCCTCTCTGACTGCTCCCACCTTTCTCCTTCTGATCAGCATCCCTCCCCAGGGATCACATGCATCATCACTTGATTAGCTTAAAGTGCTGCTATGGCCGACCACAAAAGAGCCCTTGTGATTTCATGGTTTTGTAAAGAACTCGTCCATCGGGACAAGTGGTTTGGGGGGGAGGGTAGATCGTTGCATTATTCCCCAGCATTAAAAATATATCTGAGAAGGCCAGCTTAGTGATTACAGTGCAAGTCAAGATGGTCTAATTAATTTTGATTAAAGGATCCTCCCCAATAATTGAAACTCTGCTTCCATCAATGACAAGTATGTAGTTAAAAGATGTTGGAAGTATGATCACTCAAAACACTTTGAAACCCCAGGATATTTTCTAATTGCCTCTCAAGAGCTGTGGTCAAAAAGGCCACAAGTGTATAACCACATATAGCAGCTCTGTGAGGCTGTAGTTAGGCACAGCTAAATGCTAATGTCAGGATTGCTAATTAGCACTGAACACAAAGTAGGTGAGGATGAAAGGGATGCCATTAGTTTTGCTGGTCTTTAGTCATAATTGAAAGTAATGGACACATTTTGACCTGATGATGGCCGTAGATGGGACATTTAGCGACTAAAGTTTTTACAATTAATCCCAATACAACTTCTTCCAGCAGCAGTAACACAATTATCGACCTTATGGCAACCGAAGAGGATCAGAGGATCACCAGAGTCAGTAGGATGCATCATCCAGTGTTGCCAACCAGTAGCTGAGGAGGCTGTTTTCATACTGTATTTACAAAAGTAAAAATAGTCAAACTAACCTGATTCTGATAAGATGTAATCAAATTACAATTAGGGGATTATTAGCAGGATTACAATTTTAAAGGTTGTTTTTTAAAGATACACTATGAAGAGGACACATTTATGATGCTAAAAATCTTTGTTTCCATTTTTTTTTATCAGTGTTCTTTTGTCTCACACAATAAACTTCATCTTATTGGTATTTCTTTTCTTGATTCTTGGTTTTCTTTTTTGTTGCATATTTGGTGTTAAGGTAAGCCAACAAGTTACGTTACTTTAATATTGTGATACTTGACTGTAGGTGCTGGTAGGTCGCAGGACCATGTAGTAAGAAATCAGAATTAATCACCGCACACTGCAACACTTTACTGTGATTTATTTAAGGTTTATTGAGGTAATCCAAACGTAATGGAAAGTTATCAAGTTACGTTACTTTAATACTGTGATACTTGGATTAGGTTATTGACTACATTTTAAAAGGTCATTAGTAATTGTATCTCGTTACATTTTTAAAGTAACCCTCCCAACTGTGACTGTGGAACTGAAACATCATAAACAGAGAGAAGGATCCACACAATTGAATATAGTCACCTTTGTAAACACCTTTGTATTTATTAAAAAAAATAAAAATAGAACACAAAATTCAATATCGGGGCACCTGGATGGCTCACCTGGTAGAGCTGGCGCCCCATGTACCAAGGCTGAGTCCCTGCTGCAGCAGCCATG